TCTAGAGCATAAGGTGTTAAGCCTTTAGCTTGAACACCTAGTGGACAGCATCAGCAACTAATAAAAACACATGTGTAGGAGTAGACGCCAGTTTGGTTAAAATAAAATTAACATAAAGGCATGTGGGAGACCCAGATTTGGTGGTATTCAGTGTATACGTTGTTGTTAAGTGCCTAGAGTCAGTTCCGACCCATAGTAACCCTGTAAAGGGTTTCTGAGAAGCAGCTGGTGAGTTTGAACCACAGACCTTGTGATTCAAGCTGACATTGAGGTAGAGTGCTTATCCTAAAGCGCCACACCAGGACTCCATATGAGTCACAACATTTAAGTAGATTAGCTCATCCAAAGAGAGGCCTGTTAAGTAAAAAATCAATTGAGAACTCACTTTTGGACAAGCCAAATTATAGCTATGACATACAATTCAGGAGCACCCAAAACCGAGGGGCAGCTGGTTCTCATGGGATGTGATGGAGCTTGGTAAGGGCACTGAGACCACGCTGTTTCTTCGCTCACTAGACTTGCAAACTCAACTCTGTCAGTTCTCTCAGGAAAGTTGAGGCTCTACTCCAGCAGAGTCCCAAATTTGGAATATTTCTCAGTTGGCTGACTTCTGTTATTACTAGGAATAGGAAATCATGCGGCGGAGCTATGGATTTGAATCCGGCTGTTGTTATAAAGTGCCATCAAGTCAGTTCTGACTCACAGCAACCCTGTATAGCGTTCTGAGGCACAGCAGGTGAATTTGAACTGCTGACCTGAAGTTCAAACTGACCTTTTGGTCTAGTGCTTACCCTATAGCACACCAGGATCCAATCGTACCAGACTTCACATTCCAGCTCCATTACTTCCAACTCTTATGACTCACTTCTGAGGGCTTTAGTTTCCTTATCTGGAAAATTGGAAGGATGTTTTAAAGATGAGAAAGGATACAGAAAGTAAAGATCTTATATCGTGTCCAGATCACAGAAGATGCTCAGAGATTATGAGATCCCTTTTCCTTCATCCACTCTTTGGTCCTTCATACATTCCTTGGGGCTGTTCTGTCACCAGGGGCTGTCAGAACACGGGGAGGCCGAAAGGAAGAAACCCAAGTGCTCAGTGGAGGGGAGACAACGGATGATTTTTCCCAATCCAAAGAGAATGACTGATTCTCCTCTAACGTCCAAACGTTCCCTAGCTTGTGAACTGCCAAGAATTAAAGAATCTGGTGAGTTCTTTACCAGGAGATAATCCAGTTCTTTCTCATCTAGTTTTCCAAATCCAACTCCTGGGAACTAATGAGATAAGTGTTCACAACAGTCTTTCATATTGACAAGACACCAAGAACCTGAGTTTAGTATGAAGTCAGTGTTCTAACCACCTTTAACATGCCTGAAAGAGGCAAGAGATAAACCAAGGGAGATACTAGTTTATGAATCACAAATGCCTGTTACAAAAGATACATAGGAAATTGTTTTGCTTACACAACTGCTTACATTCTAAAAGGTAAATATATTGATGTCATGGATTGAATTTGGGAAACACATAATATCTCCCAAAATTGTGTGTCAACTTGGCTGGGACATGAGCCCAGTGGTTTGGCAGTTACATAATGATGTAATTACCCCATGATGTGATCTGATCTGATCAGCCAATCAGGCCACAGGCCTGATGTGAGATAAGGGGAGTTTCCCTTGAGTGTGGCCAACATCACCAATTATGTTACAAGAGATAAACGGGGAGAGAAGCGAACACACAAGACCTCCTAACACCATGAAAGAAGAGCTGGGAGTGGAAGCCGTTCTATGGACTCAGAGTCCCTGGGGGAGACTGGTGACAAGGTACATGAAGACCGCCCAGAAGCATAATCTACGAGATGAAGACAATCCTCCAGAACTGACAGAAAGGAAGCCTTCCCCTAGAGGCAGCGTCTTGAATTTGGCCTTGTAGTTATCAAAACTGTGAGAAAAATCCATGTTTGTAAAAGCCCTTGACTTGTGGTATTTCTGTTACAGCAGCACTAGATAGCTATGACAATTGTTGTTGTCATTAAGTGCTATCGAGTCAGTTCTGAATCATAATGACCCTGTGTATGTTTCCAAGGAATAGCTGGTGGGTTTGAACCACCAATGTTGAGGTTAACAGTCTCGTGCTTATTCTACAGGTCCACACCAAGAGTCCTATTTGAAAAAGTCCCTATGTATCAGACTTGACTTGATGGCACACAACAACCTCATGCCGGAAGGAATGCCATACATAATTGCTTTACTAATTTTTCCCTTTTACCCTACTCTTTTCATAAACACATACAGATTATTCAAGGAGACTTAGGGAGGTATTAAGGAGGGCTTAGTGCAAGAACATCATACATGAAGAAAGCAAAGTCATTAAGAAGACAAGAAAGAAGGAAAAGGTCAAAATGGATGTCAGAAGAGACACTGACACTTGCTCTCCAGTGTAGAGATGCTAAAGCAAATGGAAGAAATGAGGAAGTACAAGAGCTGAACAGAAAATTTCAAAGATCAGCTCGATAAGATAAGGCCAAATACTATATATAACAAAACGTGCAAATATCTGGAAGCAGAAAACCCAAAAGGAAGAACACGCTCAG